CAAAATTTGGTCTAGAGTTGGGAAAACTGGGGTTTGATGAGAACCAAAAGAAAACAGTTGCGGTTAGAGGTATGGTGAGTGAGGACGAAATCAAGTTGGAGCGAGAGGAAGGGCCAGATCATGCGTGGAGTATTGCAGAGCTATGACTAGTTTCCTAGGCCACTAAAGATGAAATAATATAAAACAGAGTGATATACACAGTTCTGCAATTCAAAAAAAATCACTTTGGGGTAAAATGAAAATGAGCTGGAGCAGTGCAAGAGTGAATTCAAGAGGACTTTTCATTGAGGCAGCTACTACATGGTTAAAATGAGAGACCATGATGACTTGGACTTGAATGGGCAGTTGCCTGCTGGTTTACGCAGAAGACTGGTTCCAGGATTCCGTATGTATACCAAAATCTGCACATACAACTCCTGTGGTTGGCCCTGCAGAACCTGCATATATGAAGAGTTGGCCTCTGTTTATGTGGGTTTCAAATCCCACAAAAATGTATTTTCAATCTGCATTTGGTCCACATGTAAGTGGACCTGCACAGTTGAAACCCATGTTGTTCAACAGTCAACTGTACTTTAGTGTGATACTTGGTAATAGATTGGTTACAAGGGATTAAGAAATAAATGGAAACACCAATCCTTTTCAAACTCTTCCAAAAAATTAAAGAGGAGAGAACACGTCCTAACTCACTCATTTTTTGAGGTCAACATTATCTGATACCAAAGCCAGACAGAGACATCAAAAAAAAAAACAGAAACTATAGACCAAAATCCCTTATGAATATTGATGCAAAAATTCTCAACAATATGCTAGCAAGCCAAATTCAGCACAATTTTAAAAGAACTCACCTTAGTCTATTTAGTGTTGCTGTAAAGGAATACCTGAGGCTGAATAATTTATAAGAAAAGGATGTTTATTTGGTTCACAATTCTGCTGGCTGGAAGACAAGGCATCTGGATGAAAGCCCAAGGCTGCTTAGCTGCTTCCACTCATAGTGGAAGGTGAAGTGGAGCCAGTGTATGCAGACATCATATGGCAAAAGAAAAGTAAGGGAGGTGCCAGGCTCTTTTTAACAACCAGCTCTCATGGGAAATAACAGAGTAAGAACTCACTCAATAAGCCCTTCATGAGAGATCTGAACCTATAACTCCAAAACCTCCCATTAGGTCCCACCTCCAACACTGGGGATCAAGACAAATATCCAAACTATACACAATAACCAAGTGAGTTTTATTCTTGGAATGCAAGGATGGCTCAACAAATAAAAAACAATCAAGGCTATGTGCAGTGGCTCGTGCCTCTAATTCTAGCACTTTGGGAGACTGAGGCAAGAGGTCATTTGAGGCCAGGAGTTTGAGACCAGCCTGGGCAGCATAGTAGACCCTGTCTCCACCACACACACACAAAAAAGAGAGAGCCATGATGGCTCAGGCCAGCCGTCCTGGTGCATAAGGAGGTGAGGCTACGCGCTTGAGGCCAACCTGGGCAACATTTAAAAAAAAACTCTCATCCACTGATAAAAAGAAAAAAAAAAACTATCTGGGTACAATGAGCATGCCTGTAGTCCTAGTTACTAAGGAGGCTGACGTGGGAGAACCACTTGAGCCCAGGAGTTCGAGAATGCAGTAAGCCACAATTGTGCCACTTCATTCCAGCCTGGGTGACAGAGTGAGACCCTATCTCAAAAAACAAAAACCAACCAATCAATGCAATACATCACTTTGAGAGAATAAAGGAAAAAACCTACATAATTATCTGGACTGATGCAGAGAAACATTTGGGAAAACAATACTCTCTCATGATAAAAACACTACACAAGGAATAGAAACTTCTTCAACATGATAAAGGCCTCATATAAGACCCACAGTTAACATCACATATACTCAACTGTGAAAGACTTAAAGCTTTTCCTCTAACATCAGCAACAGGACATGAATTCTCATTTTAGTCACTTCTTTTTTTATTTTTTTTGAGGCGGAGTCTCGCTCTGTTGCCCAGGCTAGAGTGCAGTGGCCGGATCTCAGCTCACTGCAAGCTCCGCCTCCCGGATTCACGCCATTCTCCTGCCTCAGCCTCCCGAGTAGCTGGGACTACAGGCGCCTGCCACCTCGCCCGGCTAGTTTTTTGTATTTTTTAGTAGAGACGTGGTTTCACAGTGTTAGCCAGGATGGTCTCGATCTCCTGACCTTGTGATCCACCCATCTCGGCCTCCCAAAATGCTGGGATTACAGGTTTGAGCCACCGTGCCCAGCCCATTTTAGTCACTTCTATTCAACATAGTATTTGAAATCCTAGCCAGACCAATTAGGCAAGAAAAAGAAATAAAAGGCATCTACTTTGGAAAACAGTAAGCTATTTCCATTCATAAATGACATGTTCATATATGCGAAAAACCTAAATAATCCATTAAAAAACCCTGGTATAGCTATTAAACTCAGCAAAGTTACACATACAAAACCATGTTCACAGACTGAACGACTTACAATTTTTAAGGTAAAAATAACACTCAAAATGATCTGCATATTCACTGTAATCCCTACCAGGATCTTAATGGTGTTTTTTGTAGAAATAGAAAAACGCATCCTACATTCATAGGTAATCTCCATAGACCCAAATAGCCAAAACAATCTTAAAAAACAAGAATAAAGTAGGAGCACCCACACCTCCTGATTTTAAAACTTACAAAGCTACAGTAATCAAAACAGTGCAGCATGGGCATATGAAGAGACATATAGACCTAGGGAACAGGGAGCCCAGAAATAAACTCTCACATATGTGGACAACTGACTTTCAACAAGTGGGCCAAAACAGTTCAATAGAGAACGTATAGTCTTTGACAAATGGTGCTGGAAAAACTGGGTATCGGCAGGCAAAAGAAGTTTTCCATATGAAAAGAAGTTAACCATATGCAAAAGTTAAGGTCAAATGGATCAAAGTAGTAACCATAGAGCTAAAACTGTAAAATTTGTAAGGAAAAAACATTCAGGAAAAGCTTCATAACACTGAATTTAGCAACAATCTCTTGGATAAGACACCAAAAGCACAGGCAACAAAAGAAAAAAGAGACTAATTGTTTTTCAAAATTGAAAACTTTTGTGCATCACAATTACCATCAACAAAGTGAAAAAGCAACCCACAGAGTGGAAGAAAATATCTGTAAATCATTTATCTGATAAGGGATTAATATCCAGGATTATAAAGAACTCCTACAACTCAACAACAACAAAATTAAAAAATGGCCAAAGGACCTGAATAGACCTCTGTCCAAAGAAGATATATGGATGGCAATAAGCCCACAAAAAAATGCTCAAAATCACTGAATATTGGGGAAATGCAAATCAAAACCACAATAATCTTTAGTAGGAAAAAGGGGAAAAGAAAAACCACAGTAAGATACCCCTTCATATCTGTTAGGATGGCTATTAACCGCCCCCCACAAAAAAACCCACAGGAAATAACAAGTGTGGGTGACATGGAGAAACTGGAATGTACAGTTGGGCGACCACTGTGGAAAACAGTATGGTAGTTTCTCAATAAATTAAATAATAATATGACCCAGCAAGTCCACTTTTGGGAATACATCTAAAACGAACAAAAGCAGGGACTCAAAGGACTATTTGTACACCAATGTTCACAGGAGCATTCTTCACAATAGACCACAGGTGAAAGTAACCTGAGTATCCATCAAACAAATGGATAAACAAAATATGGTATATATATATACACAAGGGAATATTATTCAACCTTAAAAAGGAATGGGAATTCTGACACACTATGCTAAGTGAAACAGGTCAGACACAAAGGACAAATATAATTCCATTTTTATGAGGTACCTAAAATAGTCAAATTCAGAGATAGAAAGTTAAAAAGTAGTTATCAGGGCAGGGAGAAAGGAGTGAAGAGTTATTACTATAGAGTTTCAGTTTGAAATGATGAAAAAATGCTTTAGATGGACAGTGGTAATGGCTGCACAACAATATGAATGTACTTAATGCCACTTGATAAATTTTATGTTAATATGTGTTATTTTTATATATATATATCTACACAAAATTATTAAAAATAGAGGCAGGGACCGGCCTAACCAATATGATGAAACCCCATCTCTACTAAAAATACAAAAATTAGCTGGGAGTGGTGGCATGCACCTGTAATCCCAGCTACTCGGGAGGCTGAGAGAGGAGAATTGCTTGAACTCAGGAGGCGGAGGTTGCAATGAGCCTAAATCATGCATTTGCATTCTTGCTTGGGCAACAAGAACGAAGCTGTGTCTCAAAAAAAAAAAAAAAAAAAAAACAAAACAGAAGTAGGAAGGTCATGGAAGGTGCTGCACTGCTGGCTTTGAAGATGAAGGAATGAGAGTGGCTTCTGTGTGATTTATTTATTTTATTTATTTTATTTTTTAGAGACAGGCTGTTACTTTACCACCCAGGTTGGAGTGCAGTGGCGTGATTATAGCTCACTGTGGCCTCAAACTCCTGAGCTCAAGCAGTTCTCCTGCCTCAGCCTTCCGACTAGCTGGGACTACATAGGCTCGTGCCACCAAGCCCAGCTGAGAGTAACTTCGAAAAGGCAGAAAAGGCAAGGCTCACCTAGAACCTCCAGGAAAAAATGCAGTCCTGAAGACACTTTAATTTTAGCCCAGTGAAACCTGTTTTGGACGACGACTAATTCTGTAATTATTACTATAATATTAGAACTGTAATAATACATATAAGCTTATGTAAATTCCTACTGCAAATTCTTCTACATATACGTATCATACCTTTACTTTAGCCCACAGTTACCTACATGAAAAAATTCAAGATAAAGTATTTTTTAAAAACCTTACAAAAATATCCACCAAGAAAATGAGCTATTCATAACATTACTGAAATTCCTAACTTCAATAAAATTTGCTGTGGCTATCAGATTGCTAGGTCTTCAATAATTACATGAAGATGTTTAATTTGATATTATTTTTAAAAACAATACTAAAGACCCAAATTAGTTTGTATACTTACAATGTAAAATAACTTTGAGCTCAACCAGGAGTTTTTTTGACCCTCCGTGGCTTGTTCCTGGAAGCTTTTGCATTGCTTCCCCTTTTTTATTCAATATTTCAATTCTTAATGCACCTATGAGTCAAAAATTAAAAGTATCTTAATTACACCCAAAAATTTGCTGAATCTGCCAAATCTTCCCATTGCATTTTACTATCTCATGAGCTTTTACATACTGGAAATGCAAGACAAAAGAAAAGCACACTTTTTGGTATTAGAAAAATAAACATACCAATAGGGGTTCCAGCAGGCCTAATCTCATTAGGCAATAATTCATCTCCTTCAGGCCAAGTTACTGACAATCTATCAGGGAGCCTGTTATGAAACCAGTATATTAATGTTCCACAAACTTTGTTAATTATGATCTTAATTAAAAACATACAAGTTATTAGAAACTTAAATATTTATTGCTGATCTATTTTAAAAGGTTAAATCTGGAATTATTTATGATTAATCATCTAAAAAAGTTTTTCCTCCCTAACCATTCCTGTGGCTACTGGAAAAAAAAAACCTTTTAGAATTAAAAGCCAGAAACTGTTAAATTTTTATGATTTTTTTTTCCTACTTGTTTATAGTACAAGTTACCTTTAGAAGACAGGATAACCCCTAAGAATCAAAATTCAGTAAGAATCAAAATGATTGCATCATTAGCTATACAAGAAGAAAAGCCACTTTCTACTTCCTTTTTCTTCTTTATAACTCATTGATAAGGTTTGGCTCTGTGTCCCCATCCAAATATCTCAAATTCTAATCCCCAGGTGTCAAGGGAGGGACCTGGTGGGAGGTGACTGGATCACAGGAATGGTTTCCCCCATGCTGTTCTCTTGATAGTGAGTTCTCAGGAGAGCTGATGATTTTTAAAGTGTTTGGCAGTCCCCCCCTTCCCTCTTTCTCTTCTGCCACCCATGTAAGACATGGCTTGCTTCCCTTTCCCCTTATGCCATGATTATAAGTTTCCTGAGGCCTTCCCAGCCATACACGACTGAGTCAATTAAACCTTCTTTCTTTATAAATTACCCAGTCTCAGGTAGTATCTTTACAGCGTGTGAAAACGAACTAACACACGCATCTTTACCTCTCAGCATATATTGTAATATTCTAGTTGTAGGCCAAACTGAGTTTTTTAAAAACATGTTAACCATAGTGCCTGTAAGAGTGACACTTTAGATATATGATTTCCTTTTTTGTCTACAAAACAAATGCAGGTTTCTGCTGGTATAACTAGACCTCTTAATCTTTTTTAACAAGAAGTTCATCTCAATAGGTACAATATCTAAGACTACAAATGCCCTAACAGCAGAGTAAATGACATACTCCAAAATACTTAACAGCACAATTCTTTTCAATTTTTCTTATTTTTGTCATGCATCTTGAAGTGTGACTTACCTTGCCATTTCATCTTCTACATATTTTTTAACAGCTTTCTCAGCAACTGTCCTATCCAGCTTTGCAATTGGCACAGTTCTTACTTCATCATATAGTGCCTGAGGTTCCTGAATAAATAAATTTACCAACATTTCAAAGAAAACTATTTAAATCTAGCTATAACAAAAACAAATACCCATTTGTTTCTTCCAAAGAAATATATTTTATCCTAATTAAGTACATAAATAACAGTAGCTATTCTTATATTATACCATAGTGTTTGTTTATATTTTTTACATATCCTCTGTAGTCCTAACATATCAAATATTAACAAGAAAGCATGGTATAGGGAAAAAACCCACTCCAGTTTGTAGTTACTCATTCCTGAGACAGAATTCTGGCTCCAATGTTTACTAGTTAGTGGGCCCTAGAGGAAATATGACTTGATAAAATTAATGTGGTAACTAGTTATAATATATATATGTTTACAAAAACTGAGCATATGTTAAATTGTACAGATTACTAAAAACATCAACTATGACACATAAAAATTCACACAAAAACTACAACCACTTTATCCAATGTAAAACTAGTCACAGACAAAATATACTGTATCTTAACAATTACGCAAGAGTATTTCAGTATTATTACTTGCTGTCTTACCACTGCAATTTGAACCTCTCCTCCAGTAGCATATACTTCTCCATCATGATCGCCATAAAGAAAAAATCTTACTATGCTTCCATAAAAGAGAGGAAGTGTCTTGATTGTCTTGACCTAATATTGTTTTTTAAAAACAAAAGCTTCAGTATTAAGATTTACTAAGAGAAACAGCCTTAATAATAATTTCACATAACTTCTTTATTACAAAGTAAAAAACCTTGGTAACTATCATTAGAAAAACTAATGAAAACCGCATTCTAATATTCAAATAAAATTGTATTTTTGAAGTTCTGTACTTAACAAATTGTTGTAAAAATACCGCAACTTCTTTATACAAATGTGTTAGAATTAAGCATGTATCTTACAAGTCCATAATTCCTTCAAATTCAATTATAATGAATGCCAACGTACCTGAAACCTTTTTTCCCCCATAAAATTCTGCTCTCAGACGATGAACAGCAATTCATAAACTCGACAAGTTAACATTATTTTTCAAACACATCAGCTCAAAACTTGCGTATCATATTTCTTCTTCTTACTTGGCTTAAAAAATCTAAGGCAAATTTCCACTACTCCAATTCAGAAATTCCTAACAAGGACTACAAGAGTTTATCCACAACCTACCTTTCCTGCCCCATTTCTAAACTATTTCTCTTCACACATACAACAGGCAGCAGGACAACCCACCTCTTCTTACTACTTGTTTTTCTGCACTTACCTGTGCACATCTCTATGCTCAGATTATCTTCTAGAAAGCACTTTACTCCATCACCACTGAGCATTTGACTAAAATGATCACTCCCTTCTTCTTGTAACTCTTCACTTGGCTCCAGGGATGTCATATTCTGCTGGTTTCCTTCTATCTCACCAGCTTATCCCTGTCAGTCTCCTCTGACAGCTCCTCCTTTTCATTCTAACCACTAAATGTTGGGAAAGCTCCAGGCTCAATCCTTTTATCTCTTTAGCTATACTCACCAAGTATAGGTGATCTCATCCAATTCTATAGCTTTAAATGTACAATGGTGTCTCTAATTTATGGAGAGAACAGACAGCCTTCTACCTTGTAATTATCATCTGTGTAAACCTCAGCCTCTACCCCTTTCAAGGTCCACACAAATGCTACTTCTTTTCTATACATGTGATTTTGCATATGTTTTAAATTAAATTAAATATTATTTTAAAAAATGACAATAAGTTATACCTACCAGCTGTCCTGCTTTGTATATCTTTCCATCCCATTCTATTGCTGCATATGTTGCCCAGGGACCTTGCTTTTTAGAAGGAAGATCAGGACGTGTAATTATTCCCTTAAAAAGCGTAAATTTTATTTGTTTATCATACTTTTCATGACAATCCTTCAGCCACAAAGCAAATTCTCTGTCAATTTTCATCCGCTGTTCCTGTAGAATTTTAAATGTTTTATGAAATATAGCTACTAGTAAACAAATATAACCATAAACATTTGTCATTCATTTTATTTTTTCCTTTCATATACTCCAATTCAGAAAATCTAATAAAAAATTAAATATTCTGCTGGATCCTTCCCCTGTACACATTTAGGATATTTCAAACAAATGCATTACCAAAGAAGAAAAATTTGGTATCATTCTTAGAATCAAGGTCTCCGTGGTCAATATCAACAATAAAACCTTCCTTTCCACCTTTAACTCCTAGGATACACTAAAAACTGATGAACCCTTACTGCCTGGGAGGACAACTAGCTAGCTCCACAAAAGGGATGAGTGGAGGCCTTCTAACTGTAAACCACATTCTCAATGGGACAATAAAAATCTCACTGTGTATCAAGTACTTTATAAACGTGAATACAATATACAAACAGACAGATAGTAAATCTGCAGTAGTAAAATTTCACTGGGGAAAACAATTGAGAAAAAGATGCCAAAAAAGACTCCTTATGAAGGTGATAATGAAAAAAGGTTGAGAAACACTGCTATGCAAAATGTACTTCTTTTTAATTTTCTCTTTTATCTATATAGCCTATTCAAAAAAACTCATAATAGAAAGTCAAGTGTATTATAACAATACTTAAGAAGATGTGTTTTTGCCAACCATTCTTCACCCTTTTGGGAGAGAATAAGAAATCTCTGTTCAAGCATAAGGTGTTATACACTTGTTTGATGCCTGCCTCTAGGACAATGAGGAGGTAAAGACAATCTCCCAATTACATGCTTTCACAGAGGACAGTCTGTAAAGTTACAGAACTCCATTCCTTCTTACGTACCTTACACCATAAAATACCATTTCCAAAGGAAAGTAAGGCAAAATTAAAAATAATTTCAGCCTAAGTTTTTGAAGCTTGCTGTCAAGAAGGATACTTAGTTATTAATAAATTTGATTTTTTTTAAGTTATACGAATGAAAAAGAAATATATATACATGGTGAAGACTCAGAGGTCCAAAATGGTATACTGTTTCCAGGAAATGGCTGCCGCCCTTACTCCTATACCTAGGTTCCAACTCTTTCCCAAATCAGCAAATCATTGTCAGTTTGCCAGCTGACGTGGAGATTAAATTATTAACTAGGAACCAGAAAATCTGACTACCAAAATGTTAAACTGCCCCTTCTAAAACTCTCAGGATAGATTCACTATCAACCAAATTACCAGATGCTTTAATTCCAGACACTCAATAACAGTCAAAGTACAATTCAGTAGGCATGTCAAGTTAATCTAGGGGAAGAGTATGCAGACATTCATTTTATAATATTCTTTCAACTTTTCTGTGTATTTGAACATTTCTTTTCCTCCTCCTCCTTTTTTTCCCAAATAGGGCGTCTCACTGTATTGCTCACACTGACTCCTGGCCTCAAGCCATCCTCCTGCCTCAGCCTCTCAAGTAGCCAGGATTACAGGTGTGAACCGTTATGCGCAGCTTGAATGTTTCAAAATTAGAACATACATATTTTAAAAGTACAGTGTAACAAAGGAATAGAATTAACTTATTCTGGATAGCTTTTGAAAAGACCCACTGCTCAATAAATGTTGGATAACTAACACCGTATTATAAATGAATTGTAAGTGTATAATAAAGGAGTAGTAACTCATTTTGATAAGGCCTTTCTCAGTGCATAATTCTTAAAAAGCGTCCTAATCTTCTATGATTCAGAATCTTTATAAGAGCAAAATTAATTTCAACATCTTACAGGAATGACTGACTACAAACACTATGTACTATGCACTGTATTTATTGCCCAGCAATAAATTGATAATAAAATCATCTATTTCCTGGCAATTCGACATTAAACTATCGAAACAGTATCACGTAAAAGTCTCTGAGGTCTGTGCACAGAATACAAGTACACTAGTATGGTAGTTTCACTCAACTTTTTAACAAATTTCAAAGTGAAATCATTCTTGTTGTATCAACCAATGCATGTATTTTAATACCAATCAATCTCAAACCACCTTTTAGCTCAAAGTACTTCATAGTTTTACCCCATTTTTACCTTCAAGACTAGCTAAAAATCGTACAATTAGGTTATTCATGTACAAATATAGCCCTTAAAGCAAATACAATTGTTCATAAACGTTCTCATCAAGATGCTTCTGTGGCTTCTACTATGTCAAGGGCTAGATATTAAGATCTTGGCCGGGTGCAGTGGCTCACGCTTGTAATCCCAACATTTTGGGAGACCAAGGCAGGCGGATCACCTGAGGTCAGGAGTTTGAGACCAGCCTGGCCAACATAGTGAAACCCCATCTCTACTAAAAACACAAAAATTAGCCAGGCGTGGTGGCACATTCCTGTAGTCGCAGCTATTTGGGAGGCTGAGGCAGGAGAACAGCTTGAACCTGGGAGACAGAGGTTGCAGTGAGCCAAGACTGAGCCACTGCAATCCAGCCTGGACAACAGAGTGAAACTCCTATCTTTTAAAAAAAAAAAAAAAAACTAATGAAGATATGTAAATTCTAGCCAAACCTAGTCTAATTAGCTTAAAATTTTTTAGTTATGTGAACATTTGACTGCTCATAAAAAATTTATACATCATAGTCTTTTGATGCAAAATATCAACAAAAGCCTACACTGCTAGTGTCTTCTTTTACTTAAAAATAAAACATTTGCAAATATTCACAACTTTATATTTAAAAATCATACCTGTCCATTTAAAATCCTTGTAAAAAGGGTGTTCTTATCTTTCAATTTTAGCTCAAGATCCATAAACGTCAGTTTATTTGTGCTGACCTGGAATTTGTCATTAGTGAATAATGCACCAGATATTCTATTGTAGCATTCAATTGGTGCAAGCCCTCTCTTCTTAGGAGGAGTACACCAGTCAAAGCTTGAACAGAACAAAATGTTAGTTAGTAAAAAAAATTAAGTGGTAAAAATATAATTTCAGCAAAAATCAAACTTACTCTTCAACTGATGTATATGGTATTAATCGTCCATTCCAAAAACATTCAAAAATAGGCCTTTTCCCTCTAGCTGCTTTCTCAAGTATGAAACAATCATCATCATCATCTTCATCTTTTAATTCTAGATCAAAAGGGCAAATGGAACAAAATGTTTATTGCTAAAATGTGAGAAATAATGAAACAAACACATATGATCTTTCAAATTGCATTCTATAAAACCTAAAGGTAGTTTTATACTCTGTTTGCCCACAAAAAGGCAGGTTTACAAAGTGGTTCCACATTACGAATGGTGTCTGTCATTTAAAAGTCAGTAATTACTTATATATGAACTAATGTACTAGCTACTGGGCCTGTCATCTTTAAACCTATTCATGAGGCTAAAAGAGTCTTACATCCAAAAAGATTACCCCCATAACAAAATCCCTCCTTCCTACAAATATAGGAGCTTAAATCCTGTATCTAAAATAGTTTCACAATTTTATCAGAACTAGCATGTTCACATGAAAATCACCTGAGAAATCTGACATCTAATAGCAGCGAGTTTACCTAGTTTGAACAAATTAGTGAATGATGCTAAAATTAAGCTTACTTTTTAGAAATTATTTCATTTTCAGATTTAACTAAGCATGGAAAATGTACACAGAACTGTAAGATATATTACTATGCATCGAGAGCATTAATTAGCACAATTTTCTATAATCTTATGTTTATTAGCAACACACTCTCGTGTATCCAGATAAATTAGGATTAAACAACATGATCCTGACATATTAACATCTCAGCTACCCTGCCATTAGTTCACGCACCTAAAACAAAACCTTCTCCCTAAAAGCCCTCACAAGAAGTCCCTTATATACAAGGTGCTTTCAATCAAACAAAACCACTTTGCTCTTAGAGAATCCCTCTGATTGATCACTCAACTTACTTGCTCTTCTTTTTAAGGCAGCATTTGAAAAAATTTATATCTTTTTGTCTATTAGCATACAAAAATTGGAAATAGTAAATTTAAGAAGTCAGAGACAGCCAGGCACAGTGGTTTATGCCTGTAATCCTAGCACTTTGGGAGGCTGAGGTGGGAGGATTACCTGAGTTCAGGAGTTTGAGACTACCCTGGGCAACATGACAAAACCTTGTCTCTAATAAAATACAAAAAAATTAGCCTGGTATGGTCGTGGGCACCTGTAGTCCCAGTTACTCAGGAGGTTGATCCATGAGAATTGCTTGAACCTGGGAGGCAGAGATTGCAGTGAGCCTACATTGTGCCACTGCACTCCAGCCTGTGTGGTAACACGAGACTTTTGTCTCCAAAACATAAAAAAAAAGCAAAAATGCCAGTGGAGCCACTCAGTAACAACACATACTGAGCAGGAGCACTTAATAAATAGTGCTGAGCACTATTCTGAGAAGTTGCCCCAGTTTTTAAATTTGATCTTCACAACACCCTTATGAGGTGTGAACTACCCATATCCCAGATAAGGAAACTAAGGTAGGGAGTAGTTTGTCCAACAGAAAGCAGCAAAGATGGGATTCAAATCAGAAAATCTGGCTGCAGACCCTAGAAAACTAACAATGTACTCAGGAAGTATTCTGAAAGAAAAAGTTTAATATTGTTAACCTATCAATTCAATGCAATCCCAATAATCCCACTAGAATTATTATAAGTGAATGTATGAAGCTGATTCCAAAGTTATCTAGAAGAGCAAAAGTATTCTCAAAAAGGAACAATAGTGAAATGTTTTGTCCCAAACATACCAAATTACAAGATAAAGCTACAAGACAGTATCATTACTTATATACAAAAAAATAAATAGTACCTTATAGTAAAGAATCTAGACCTATGTACTTATGGGAACTTTATATTATAAAAGTAATATTATAAAAGTTCTAACTATTGGGTAAATTGTAACATTTAATAACTGGTGCTAAGAAACTGAGTATGAATACCACATAGAAAATAATTGTTAAATCCCTATCTCTCTACTGGGAAAAAAAAAAAAAAAAAAGGGCCGGGTGTGTGGCTCACGCCTGTAATTCTAGTACTTCGGAAGGCCAAGGCAGGAGGACTATTTCAGGCCAGGATTTCAAGACCAGCCTAGGCAACATGGCAAGACCCCATCACTCAAAAATTTAAATAAATAAAATCCCACCTTACTCTACATACAAAAAAGGAAAACACAGATGCATTGACCATAAAATGACAACAAAATCAAAAAAGCTACAGATTTACATAATCTTGAGGTGTAAAAAGCCTTTCTACAGTAAGACAAAATCAGAAAGCAAAAAGAAAAAACTGATAGGTATGACTGCATAAAGTGTAAAACTGCAACAAGGATAAAGAGAAGAGAACATATAAACGATTAATATGCATACATATCTAAAAGTTTGGTTTCATAACAGAACTAAAAGAAGAGTTCATTAAAGATGTATTCACCTAGAAACGAACGTACATAAAAATCAGGAATTACAAAAATTACAAATACCTAAAACAACCTAAGACCTGCATAAGAAAAAGTTTTAATATTTATTTTTCTAACCTGAATAGCCCAACTGATAATCATTTAGAAAAACAAATTGCTGTCCCAAATCACAACTTCGTATTTTATAACTAAGATAACAGATTAACATACTTGATGGAAAGCATGGATCATCAGGGTAGGTTTCTCTATCATATAAGAATGGATGATAACGGATAATCCCTTCCACTACACCATCTCCTTCAACATGAGCTTTGAATTCAAAACTGTCAGCTGCTGTGTTTACATACAACGTCTGCATGTCGTCTTGTATTTCCCTTAGGTTGACAATCTTAGGTACCTTCCCTTTTTCAAACATAGAAATCTAAAATAAAAATGAAACAAAAATAATTAAATTCCATGGTAACTTTACTTTTGTTCTCAGCTATGATTCAACAATAGAATAAGCAAAAATTCTGTTTATTTGTACAAGTAATAATCTGGCTTAATGAAATATATATATTTATATATGAGTTAAACAGCTTTAAGTAGCATCTCGATAAGGAATATACTACTAAAAAATATAATATAAGCAAAGAAACAGCAAATCAGAGCTGAAGGACAGAAAAGTCACAATAATTCAAGGTTTCTTGCTAGAGGTAGGAAGTGGGACAACATTGTATGTGAAATTCTAACATGTGGGTTAGGGTATTGAGAATCCAATACTCAAATGCTCTGTGCCACTAAATCTTGTCACCATCATACAACTTCTACAAACAAAAGGAAAGCTACGTTATCTCCCTTTTCCTCCATGCTTCAAGAGATGATTGATGTTCAGTAACAATGCATAGCTCTACAGAAGAGAGACAAAAAAAGATAAACCAAGTACTACAGTAAATAAAGGTTCAAGAAAAATACATCTAGGAAAAATCTCTTTAGTTGGATATCAAACAATCAAAGTAGTTTGGTAAAAAACAAGGAGAGAAGTTGTCTAATTATCGAGTGTTTTTTATTAGCCCAAGTCATTTAGAACTGGAACAAATATCTCATAATTTTTAATATTTTAAGATGGATTTTTCTCTTACTTCAATATCAATATTGTTGAAAGGTTCAACTTCTTTTGATGTTCGTATTTCATTTCCTTTTGGGCCATGAATATAGTAATGATAAATATGCCTAAAAGAGAGAAGAATAATTTTATACTTTTAATTCACATAAAATTATAGTTAATGTAATCTTCTATCAAAAAATTTTAACACTATTTACTAGGTATCAAGCACTTTATTAAGCATTTTTAAACACATATTCCATTTAATGGTAAAAACAATTGAGATGCAGGTATTATTGCATCTCATTTTACAGATATAGACCCTGGGGTACAAGGAGTGTATGTAAGTTATCTGACATCACAGAATAGAGTTAGGGAGCTGTGGGCTTCAACTCAGGTCTTCCCAACTTTAAAGACCATATACACCACTTCCAAGAGGAATAATTCATCAAATAAATATAAATTAGACAGCAAGAGTCTATAATGCTACTTGCCAGGTACACTCCAGAAAGGACTCAATTATCGGGGGTAAACTGAATTCGATATCTAATGTCAATATGAGAATATCATTCTAGAACAGCAGTCCCCCACCTTTTTTGCACCAAAACCAGTTTCATGGAAGACAATTTTTCCAGGGATGGGAGTTGAAGGGGGGTGATTTGGGATGAAAATCTTCCACCTCAGCTCAACAGGCATTAGAGTCTCATAAGGAGCACGCAATACCTCACAAGCACAGTTCACATTAGGGTTCATGCTCCTATGAGAAATCTAGTGCTGCCACTGATCTGACAGAAGGCGGAGCCAGGAGGTAATGCTCACTGGGGCCCACCACTCACTGTGGGGCCGGGTTCCTAAAAGGCCACAGATGGGTACCAGTTCACAACCCGGGCGTTGGGAACCCCCGTTCTAGAACATTCATCTCTCCTCTCCTATAGCACTGAGACAATCTTATCCTAATATTCCAAAAACAAAACTACTAAGTTTGACATCATCTCACTGAAAACCAACACTCTGGAAATCAACACCTCTTTATTTTTTAAGAAAAGGTTTAAAAAGATTATATTTTGGTAATGTTGTTCAGGATTATAAAATACCATGTCTTTATTCGCAAAATAGAAATTTGCAATATTTCTTCATAATCATTCTTTATTAGAGCAAGAGTATATTTAAATTATGTGTTAATGTACACTGAGTTCCTTCAATAAAAAGAAACTATAAAATAGCTAATAAAATAAGTACTTGAAGAAAACTGCAAAGTCCTATTTAAATACCTTGGGTAACAGGGATACTAAACAGAAATATTCAACTAGAAAAAAGGTATTCCTAAAATCAAATTTATTTTCCCATAAAAAAATTTTTAAAATTCTCTTAGCATATAATTATGTATAAAATTGAGACTCTCAAATTAAGAGCAACAGTCTTTTGGGTAAATGTAAAAAGATGCATTTTTAAAATATGAATTTTGAGCAGATGTACCCATTTTGCAAGTCTCAGTAATTCAGACTAATGCAAATCAGGGAAACAATACAGTAAATCGTACGTACCACATAGCTATAAAAAAAAAATTTGGGGGCCAGGCGCGGTGGCTCACGCCTGTAATCGCAGCACTTTGGGAGGCCGAGACAGGCAGATCACGAGGAGATGGAGACCATCCTGGCTAACACGCTGAAACCCCGTCTCTTCTAAAAATACAAAAATTAGCCAGGCGCGGTGGCGGGCACCTGTAGTCCCAGCTACACGGGAGGCTGAGGCAGGAGAATGGCATGAACCCAGGAGGCAGGGCGTGCAGTGAGTGGAGATCATGCCACTGCACTCCAGCCTGGGTGACAGAGTGAGACTCCGTCTCAAAAAAAAAAAAAAAAAAATTTTAGGCCGGGCACAGGGGCTCACGCCTGTAATCCCAGTACTTTGGGAGGCTGAGGTGGGCGGATCACCTGAGGTCAGGAGTTCAAGACCAGCCTGGCCAATTACGGTGAAACCCTGTCTCTACTAAAAATACAAAAATTAGTCGAGTGTGGTGGCACGCGCCTGTAATCCCAGCTACTCGGGAGGCTGAGGCAGGAGAATCGTTTGAACCCAGGAGGCGGAGGTTGCAGTGAGCTGAGATTGCGTCATTGCACTTCAGCCTGGGCAACAAGAGTGAAACTCTGTCTCCAAAAAAAAAAAAAAAAAAAAAAAAAAAATTAGAGCCATTAAATAACTATTCCTCTGATTTGGTCTAATGGGATATAGAGTCCCTACAAGTTTTACTGGAATAAAAACACATGATTATTTTCAGCACTAATGTCATACAGGCACATACATACATATATTTTTTATTTTAATAGGCTTGATGCATTCATTCACTTAATAAACATCTAAGCATCTACCATGTAGCAAGTATTCTGCTAGTAGACATTGGAGACACAGCAGTGAATTTAACGACAAAAATAAATATATGTGGTATGGAAGATTATGACAGGTGCTATGGAAAAGAAGCACAAAACGGGGTCGTGGAAGTGATATAGTGCTCAATTTGACAAACTGTGAAGTTCATTTTTAATTTTATAGTATTGTCAAAATCCTGTGCCTCAAATAATGCTCAGTACACTAGAGATGATCTATAAATACTTACAGAATAAAAGAATAGAGAGCTGTTTTAACACCAATATCAGAGTACTGGATAATATCAGAGTACTGGGAAGAAAATGAGATAGGAGCAAAAAGGATACCAAAGAGGCTTCAATGTATCTGTAATATTTTCAGTCTTAAAAAAGTTAAGTACCAACATTTCCTAAACCAAATATAATTACTTACGCTAACTGTCGTGTCCAAAGGTGGAAATAATTTTTCAAGTACTGTATGTGTTCTGGTTGTACCCCTGTGATAACCACAGCAGTAAAGCTATCTTTTTCCTTCTCCTCTATGATGAGATTATGTAGAAATCTTTCATCATCATTTGTAATGTGAACAGAATCAGAGGGCTACAAGAGTGAACACAAAAACAACAGATTAAATCATCTAAATTATAATTATACAAATAGCTATTGCATCAAATTTTAATGTGATTTACTTGGAGTTTCACAAACAGGCTTCAGAAAAGCTTTTGGAGGACACTGGCCCAATATAACAAACTGGCTGAGCATGTGACAACACTGTGAAGACAAGGGAACTTTCACACAGACTGCTAAACTAGCATGCATAAAGAGCACCCTATCTTATAATGATAAACCAATTTTAGAATCATAAAGGAAAAGGTAAAGACAAATACCGAGTTTTAAAATGCCTTAAAAAATTGAGGACACTTACCCTAGGGTGGAATGAACCCTTGCTTGGGAGACCTACCACTTAACTTGGTCAGGACCAATGTCCAGCCCTCCATGTTCAAGAAAACTACAGGGCAGGCTGGACACAGCTAGCTAAGCCCAAACACATTGTGCTTAAAGGTAAAAATCATCCTGGACACCAGTCCACTTTCAGAGAAAATCTAAATATTCTCTGGAAGGGGGGTAGTAGGGGAATTTGAGGATAAAATTACAAACTTCTCAGTTTGTAGTATGAGTCTATGTTTTAAAAAATTCCAGGTCGGGTGCGGTAGTTCACTACTGTAATCCCAGCACTTGGGGAGGCTGAGGCGGGCAGATCACCTGAGGTCAGGAGTTCAAGACCAGCCTGGCCAACAAGGCGAAACCCCATCTCTACTTAAAATACGAAAGCAGCCAGGCGTGGTGGCATGTGCTTGTAATCCCAGCTACTAGAGAGGCTGAGGCAGGAGAACCGCTTAAGCCCAGGAGTCTGAGGTTGCAGTGAGCCAAGATCGCGCCACTGCACTTCAGACTGGGCAACAAGCATGTCTTAAAAAAAAATAAAACGACAACAAAAAAAACATGGTATGTGCGCACGCGTGTGTGTGCATGTGTGTGTATGCGTATACAGTCATATGCCACATAACATTTCTGTCAACAATTGACTGCAGTGGTCACATAAGATGATACAATATTGTAAAATCAGTGTACCTTTTCTATGTTTAGATATGTTTAGCTACACAAATATTTACCATTCTGTTACAACTGCCTGGGGTAACAAGCTGTACAAATTTGTAGATTAGGAGCAGTACCCTATACCATATAGCCTAGGTGTGTAGTAGGTTATGCCATCTAAATTTGTGTAAGTACGCTCTATGATGTTCACACAGCAACAAAATACCCTAATGATACAGTTCTCAGAATGCATCCCTGTCCTTAAGTGATATGAGACTATATCTACTGTGTATGTTGCTATGTAGATTTAAAAACTGTGGAAATAAAAACAGATCAAACTATTCTATCTAGGAAATCAGTTAATTTTTAAAAATAAGTATGTATGATTACTTGCTTAACTAAAAACAGTGTTACAGCTCTTTTAGAATTTGTCTATCAAATTCTAAAATTTCTGATTAAAAAATAATAAATCCTTTAAGACTATACCCCTTCAAAACCATTCTAATGCATCTCTATACACTAAATTGCTAATATCACAGCTACAATATATACAAGTAACATTTCATACACTTTGAGTCAGTAGAGTAGTCTGAATTTACTAATGATGCAAATTCATTATCCAAATATTTATCAAGCATCTTCTGTAAGTCCTATGCCTCAACTTGGGCCTAAGGAAGACAGGTTCAAGATAAATAAGACAGTGCCTTTGTGCTCTACAAATTCCATCTGGTAGGAAATGAAAAAAAACAAATGATTACAAAACAATATGCCATTATGTATGAAGATATGAACCAAGAGCTACACAGGTAAAAAGAGGGTGACAGTCACCCAGCAGATGACTGATTAATAACATTCCAGACAAATGAGAACATGAATTCAAGAGCATAAAGGAAATATGGTAGTTTTAGGATATATGATAAACATATGATAAAAGATAAGGCAGGATGGCTGAATTAGAGCAGTGGAAAGTGGGTGGAAGAGAGGATAGATGAAAGAAAATAATATAAAAGACAAAATTAAATGTGCTGAATGATTAACAAAAAGGATTATCAACTTTAACTGCATGGCTAGTGGATGCCATTAATTGAAAAGGGTAGTTGAGAGGGAAACAGGAGAAAGAGGGAATAAGAAAGGTTTCCAGATAATATTTGATCTCTTTCTCTTAAGAGACAGGGTCTATGTTGCCCAGCTGGTCTTGAACTCCTGGGCTCAAGAGATTCTCCCTCCTCAGTCTCCCAAAGTGCTAGGATTACCGGCATGAGCCACTGTGCCCAGCCAATATTTGACTTCAAAGGTACCAAAAGTGAGTTATTCCTCAAACACCTAAGAAAGAACATCTAACTGAACCTGGAAATGAGTGTACTGGACATGATCAGTTGGTATTCATCACCCATTCCTACTACCTTTTACTGTACTCTCTTGGGCTACAGAGGTTGGAAGGAAAAAAAAAATACTGTTTGGTTGTGGATGCAAATTAGGTTTCACCAATTAGACATACTAGCCAAAATCTGGACGCCAAAAATGAAGCAAAGGCTATTTCCTGAAGTTTCTTAAAGGTTTTCTGTTATCATACAAGGCACTGAAAGATCAGTAACCAGGTTTCAGGTTTAATGTGTCAAAAGGCCACTGCAGCCCTACTTATGGCCAGAAATTCTGTTTTCCAGTCGTGGAGCAACTGTGGCAGTGAGAACATTCCAACTTTTGGATCACAGATACAGCAGTGAGTTCCTGAATTCCAGACCCAGTGGTGGTCCTCCAACTGAATGATTATAGCAAATGTTGCAGCATCCCTCCAGGATTAACTTCAGAGTCTTAGTATCATTCTTGAAGGCTTAGCCCATAACTCATTCCTTTGGCCCTTCCAATAATCAGGTAACCACCTGATTCCCTCTGTTAGATATTTTCTGTTTAAAGGGCCTAGGATGGTTTGTTTCCTTTATTGAAGCTAGCATGTTTCAGTGTCTCAGTCTTGAGAAAAGTTTTCACACGAAACTCAGATTTGAGAGCTTTTGACATAAGTAGCAAATACACATCTTTAGAAAAGGCAAGACTATTGACTATAGAACAAGAACCACCAACTCCACCCACATTCTGAAAACTGCTCACAGGTCAGAGACACAAGGCCAACAAAAATAGGCTGGAAAAGACTGGTCATAAAAGGAAACGGAACAGGTACTTATGTGTGTTGGGTAGAACTAAGCACAAAATACAGAAAAGGCTGGCAGAGAAATGGTGCTCCAGGAGACACAGTTCTATACAAGCTTCGTAATACGCACACAGTTTTGAAAACCACTTAAATTCTCAATTTCTATTTCTCACCAGTTTTATCACGGCAACTAATATTTCCACCATTATATTTTACAGGGCTTTGTGGTGGTTAAGACAAGATGGAATACTGTTACGTAAAAATATCAAAATATGCAATTTGTTAAGTAAATGAAACAAAGAAAAGAAAGTCATGTCCTGCACAAAGGTATATTAAGTTATCGAGAAAATAAAAGTGGGTAATAAAATGGAAAAAAAAATAATCCAACCCACCAACTAATGAAAGAAAAGGTATTTTTTTTTCACTTATCAAATGGCCAACATTTTGCTGCCCTTTCCCCTTCTCACTCTTTTGAAAAATAAATGGTCAGACATGTACTTCCATACGGTTAGAAATGTATGTGACTAGGGGTTTAACCTTTCTGACAAGCAATTTTGAAATACATGCCACGAACATTTTAAAAGTTCAAATTCAGGCTGGGCGTAGTGGCTCACACCTGTAATCCTAGCACTTTGGGAGGCCAAGGTGGGCGGACTGCCTGAGGTCAGGAGCTCAAGACCAGTCTGGCCAACATGGTGAAACTTCGTCTCTACTAAAAAAAAAAAAAAAAAAAAAAAAAAGAAAATTAGCCGAGCGTGGTGGCATGAGCCTGTAATCCCAGCTACTCGGGAGGAATTGCTTCAACCAGGGAGGCAGAGGTTGTGGTGTGCTGAGATCATGCCACGGCACTCCAGCCTGGGCGACAGAGTGCAACGCCATCTCAAAAAAAAAAGTTCAAATTCATTATCACAGCTATTAAAATTATAACAATCTAAACTAAGGAAAAAAATTTTTAATTCAGGTAAAATGTTATGCAAAGATATTCACGGCAATGTCTTTACAATTATTGTAAAATCCTTTAAATAAGCCAAATGCTCAACAGAATCATGAAATTATGTTACAGTCATTGAAGGAAATGTTATAAAGCTACTAAAAACTGCTGTGTATCAAAACAATTTGTAAGATGGGGAAATATTCAATGTGTTAATTTTTAAAATGTGGGATCAAAACTATTAAGTAGGCTGGGCGCGGTGGCTCAAGCCTGTAATCCCAGCACTTTGGGAGGCCGAGACGGGCGGATCACAAGGTCAGGAGATCGAGACCATCCTGGCTAACACGGTGAAACCCCGTCTCTACTAAAAAAAGTACAAAAAACTAGCCGGGCGAGGTGGCGGGCGCCTGTAGTCCCAGCTACTCGGGAGGCTGAGGCAGGAGAATGGCGTGAACCTGGGAGGCGGAGCTTGCAGTGAGCTGAGATCCGGCCACTGCACTCCAGCCTGGGTGACAGAGCAAGACTCTGTCTCAAAAAAAAAAAAAAAAAAAAAAACTATTAAGTATATATTTTAAAAAGCTGAATTAGAAGGAAATTCACCAAAATGTTTCAGTAGGCTTCTCTAGGACTTGGGAGTATTTTTATCTTCCTTATGCTTTCCTATAAAGCTTCCTACAAGTTATTTTAGAATCAGAAAACCAATGTTTTAAAAGTTCAAAATTACTTTTTAAAAAATTTGTATTGTTTTTGAGACAGTCTTGCTCTATCATCCAAACTGAAATGTAGCAGCATGATCATAGCTCACTTGCAGCTGGGCTCAAGTGATCCTCCCACCTCAGCCTGCCAAGTAGCTGGGACTACAGGTGCGCAGACCAGCACACCCAGCTTTTCTTTTTCTTTTTCTTTTTTTCAGTAGAGACAAGGTCTCCTATGCTATAGAGGCTGGTCTTGAACTCCTGAGCTCAAGCAGTCCTCCCACCTCAGCTTCCCAAACTAGTGGTACTACAGGACTGAGCTACCATGTCCAGCCCCAAATCACTTTAAAATAAAGATTTTCCCATAACTCCAACACTTTCGGAGGCCAAGGTTGGAAGATTACCTGAGTCCGCGAGTTAGAGGCTGCAGTGAACTGTGATAGCACCACTACACTCTAGAGGGACAGAGTGAGACTCCATCTCTTAAAATAATAAGTAAACTAACTTATATATTAAAGATTTTAGATTAAAAATCATGTTTCAGGCTGGGCATGGTGGCTCACGTCTGTAATCCTAGCACTTTAGGAGGCCAAGGTGGGCGGATCACTTGAGGTCAGGAGTTCAAAACCAGCCCGGCCAACATGGTGAAACCCTGTCTCTAGTAAAAATACAAAAAAAGTAGTGGGGTGGGTGTGGTGGCAGGCACCTGTAATCCTACAATCCCAGCTACTCGAGAGGCTGAGGCAGGAGAATCTCTTGAACCTGGGAGGTGGAGGCTGCAGCGAGCTGAGGTTGCGCCACTGCACTCCAGCCTGAGCGACAGAGTGAGACTCCATCTCGAGAAAAAAAAAAAAATCATGTTTCAAACAGAGTTGAAGGGATACACAATAAATATACCATTTACTTGCCACTAAGATTCAAATTTTTTAACATTTTGTCATATTAACACAAGAATTTGAATGCAAACTTGTAACAGCAATCTCTCATTTATTTCTCTTGAGGTCCAATTTCCTGAAAGTACATTACCCTATTACTGTTTTTCTACTCTATAATTTTATTATATAACAAAGATTTTAAAATCCAAATTCAGACCAGGGAAAAAAGTTTACAATCCTACAAGCAATTTAAAGAAAGCTTAGTAAGCTTTATGAGACAACTTGTCTGAAGATTTTGGCTTGAGAAAGCCCATTTTTGTTGCTAGCATGACTAAAGGAAAGGGTAACTGAAAATTTCATACCTTCAAGTTAAGTTCTGTCCTAACGTCTATCCAAAGGAGTAAATTTATAATTATGAGTCAAAAATGTATTGTACCTTTCTGTTTCTAATATATCCACTATATATTGCCTCTTTATTTTTCTCCTTCTTCTCAAAATCTTCTTTAGAAAGCACAAGCTCATGAACATCTTGGGAATCTGCAGGTTTGCTTATCATCTGTTAAATATTAAAAAGAGTACTTTTTAAATTCCTAATAAACTGGTTAATGCATTTAGACAGAGTCAACTTCAAAATCAACTTTTGATCAACTTTCATTTCTAAGAAATCTTTTTACTTACTCTGGCTGATTGTCCGACAAAGAAGACAGCTTGCTTGCCCCCAACACCAAAATAGGAAATATCACTATTTAAACTGCGTGGCACTGGTACTGGACGAACATATCCTGAATGATCACTAAAATAAAACATTACATTAATGCAGTGATTTTAATCAAGCTAGTTAAGTGTCAAAAGAAACTTTCATTGCGCTTGTATTCAGTGTTAATGAAATGATCACCATGCCTGCAAACACCCCTAACTGAAAGCTGAAATAATCAGTGTCAAGACATCCACTCCAGTTCATCTCAAAGTGTAGTCCCCAGGCCAGATGCACTAGCTTTACCTGAAAACTTTTAAGAAATGTAAATTCTTGGGCTCAGTCCTACTAAATCAGAAAATCTCTCAGCAAACAGGACTAAATAAGTATTTTTATTATCCTTATGCCTCTAAAACTTTCCTTCAAAGCTGTTTGCTACTTCAAAACTTCCTAAAATATTGTCTAAAGAATAATGGTAATTAGAGCAAAGGAGAGTGTCACTTCCATATATCATGATAAATGAAGAGCTCTGAGGGAACACTGCACCATAACAACATTCTGAAGAAGAGGCACCACTGGTCTTTCAAAATATAGGCAAAGTCTCCAGGGACATCATCCCCCAATATCAGAAAGAAACAGAATGAAAGTGAAGCTGGAACCACTATTAAACTCAATGGTAAGATTAAAGAGCAGGTGTGACAAAGCTGGAGAGAATTAGAGAACAGAAAGATGCAAAGAATGTAACCACAGGAAACAAAGAAAGAAAACAAAACTGAAAAAATCAAAGTGGTGTTAAAAGACATAAATGACCAAAGCAAAATATCTCACACAAGATTAAATGTAGTTCTAGAAACAGAAGGGACAGAGAACGGAAAACAGCTGTAAATATGCTTGAACCAGTATGACATGGCTTCACAGATCCAAGAAAACGAAAAGAGCCCAAACAAGATACATAAAAAGAAATCAACATCACTGTAAACACCAAAAACCAAACAGAAGAACTAGAAAATAGGCTGAGAGATAAGACAGGATAAAATAGATTAGCAGGCTTTGACAGTGACAGTATAAGACAGAGAAGAATATTATCTCTGCAATGCCTGAAAAAAATCTGTTAACCTAAAATTGTCAACTAGAAAAAAATTAAGAATTTATAGATTAAAAACCAAAGTAATTTACCACCAGAAGACTTGTTCTAAATTAATGTTCCTACAAGCACAATCTAACATACAAGAGGTCACCATAATACAATACATACAAAAGTAATTTTTTTAAGTACTACATATGAGACATTTACTGGTGTGGTGAAAAAGTGGTATGTGTATATCGTTGAATTTCTAAAAAGTCACACTTTACATACCTTCAATAACAAAACTGTCATTTCAGGAAGAGAGTGACCAAAGCTAATGAAGTCCTTAAGTTGGGGGAAGGAAAATACTTTTAATCCTGAAATCTAAATATGCATGATAAAATTTCAAAGAAGATCAGAGAAGATATAAATTCTAAAATATTAAAAAGAAAAAAGGTGGATCAAGAAAATGAAACAGCAGAAGACAATAAATTTAAGAGAAAACAAAGAAACAGAAACAAAGAATGGGATAACCAAAAACATTTTAATTGGTATAAAAAGTCCTATCCTCATATATAAATAATCAAAATAAACATAAAGACAACATTGAGCAGGTAGGACACTGTAATACCAGAGATACAAAACAACAAAAGCACCCAAAAGAGTATTCCCTCACAATACCCCCTCAACATCTACAATCACATCCCCACACAACACACACAAACTGTCGACACAAAATAACACACACAAAATGCCTCCCCACACAACCCTGCATTTATACAAAACACCTCACACAATACACAAACATATCACTACTTTGTTTTTCTTTTCTCCACTTTTTTTTTTATTATACTTCAAGTTCTAGGGTACATGTGCATAACGTGCAGGTTTGTTACATATGTATACTTGTGCCATGTTGGTGTGCTGCCCCATCAACTCGTCAGCACCCATCAACTCGTCCTTTACATCAGGTATAACTCTCAGTGCAATCCCTCCCCCCTCCCCCCTCCCCATAATAGGCCCCGGTGTGTGATGTTCCCCTTCCTGAGTCCAAGTGATCTCATTGTTCAGTTCCCACCTATGAGTGAGAACATGCGCACACCACTACTTTCAACAGAAACGACACCACGATGCTACAAAGCATTCACACTGATGATTAAAAAAAAAAATCTTAAGTCAGAGAAAAACAGACAATATGTTCTGAGATATAAAGATAAGACTGACAACAGATTTCTCCTTACAAATGATGCAAGTTGGTAGGAAACTGAGTGACATATTTAACATATAGGTTTGAGTACCCCTTATCCAAAACGCTTGGGACCAAAAGTATTTCAGATTTCTGATTTCTTTTCCAATTTTGGAATAGACGCATTATACTTACCAGCTGAGCATCCCAAATCTGAAAACGCAACATCTGAAATGTTCCAATAAGCATTTCCTTAAGTGTCATGTTGGTGCTCAAAAAATTTTGGATTCTGGAGCAGTTCAGATTTTGTATTTTTGAATTTGAGATGCTCAACTTGTACTTAAATTTTGTTAAAGTCAAGCTCAAACTAGATGCTCAGCAAAACTATCTTTGGGGTTTGGGGGGAAGAGAGAGATCGTATCAGACATACAAAATCTGAAAAAAATTCACCAAGAACAGACTGAATTTATAAGAGAATGTTTAGAAAGATCTTCTCAGAAAGGAAAACAATACTAGATAGATTTACACAAAGGAATAAATACAAGCTCTAGTAAATATGGTAAATATGTGGGTAAACATAAACTGGTTCAGAGACTCAGATTTCGCATGCAAATGTTCATAGCAGCATTATCAAAAGACAAAAGGTAGAAACAACTTGTGTCCATTCATCTACGAACTGATAGACAAAATATAATATGGTTGTACAGTGAAGAATTATTCAACCATAAAAAGGAATGAAATTCTGATACATGCTACAACATGGATGATCCTCGAAAATTATGCTAAGTGAAGTAAGTCACGGATGACAAATACTGTATAACGACAAATACTGTACACTTCCACTTAAAGGAGGTACCTTGATTAGGTAAATTCATTGAAAACAGAAAGTACAATAATGGTTACCAGGGGATACAAGTGGGAGCAATGGGGAGTTACTGTTTAATGAGTAAAGCTTCAATTTGGGGGTACAGGGTGAAAAAACTTTCAGAATACATAATAAAAATAGTTGTAAAAGACTGTGACTGTAATTAATGCCATGGAATTATACACTTTAAAATGGTTATAACTGTAAATATTATGTTATTTATATCTTACCACAATTTTTTAAAAGAGAACTGCTTTAAAAAGGGACAGAACAGTGTGCTGTTGGAACACAGAGCAGATGTGTACAGTTTAGCAAGAAAGGTCAGGAAGTTGAGAAGAAGCCTTTTTACATTAAGGAGAGAGGCAAATGATTATTTAAAGCTAAATAACAATACTGTACTTTGACATTGATGCCAAAGTAAAATGTATAAAAACAAAAGTACAAAGACCAAGATAGCATAAATGGAAGTATACTGTTGTGATGTATTTATATGTGAAGTGGTTTAGTATTACTTAATACAAACTGTGATAAATTAAAGAGTTATACTATGAATCCTGGAGTTTCCAGTAAAGTAACAGCTATAGTTAATAAGCCAAAAAGGAAATAAAATGGAATCTCTCTCGCTCTTGCTCTCTCTCCCTCACACACACACACACACACACACACACACACACACACAATGAATCTGCAATAAGGCAGGAAAAAAAGAAAATGGGAACAAAAAATAGGCAGGAAAAATAAAAAATAAATTAACAAAGATGGTAAACTTAAATCTCAACACATCAATAATCCAATTAAAAGCAACTGATCTAAACACTCCAATTAAAAGGCAGAGATTGTTAAATATTAAGACACAAATATGCATTGCCTAAAAGAAACCCTCTCTAAATATAAAGAGACAATAGGTTAAGAGGTTGGAAAAAGATTTACCATTTTAACACTAATGAAAAGAAAGCTAGAGTGAATATATTAACACCAGACAAAGTCAATAAAAGACACCAGGAAATGAACAAAGAACAATTAAACAAATAAATGAGTAAATAAAATAGACTATCACTCTTTGTATTATTACATTTAATTACATTATGGATGTAATAATATCCAGTATTATTTTCCTTTCTGGATAATGTAATAATAACCAGTATTGTTTTCCTTTCTGAAGATCTTTCTAAACATTCTTTTATAATTTGAGTCTGTTCTGCATGAATTTTTTTCAGATTTTGTATGTCCGATAGGATCTCTCTCTTTCCCCCAAAACCCAAAGATAGTTTTGCTGAGCATCTAGTTTGAGCTTGACTTTAACAAAATTTAAGTACAAGTTGAGCATCTCAAATTCAAAAACACAAAATCTGAATGCTCATTATACATTCAATTACATTAAATGTAATAATACAAAGACGCTAAATGAAACTGTAAACATGGTTATAAAACATGACCCAACTATATGTTGTCTATAAGAAACCCATTTCATATATAATAATGAAGGTAGGTTAAAAGAAAATGAATGAAAAAGTATATAGCATGAAAACACAAATGAAAAGAAGCTGGGATGGCTATATTAACAGGTAAAGTACACTCCAAAGCAAAGAAAATAACCAGTGACAAAGAGCAACACTACATAATGAATAAAAAGGTCAACCAAGAAGGCACAGAAGGCACAACAATCCTTGGAGACTTCAATACCCCTTAGTTACTACCACATAGAAAATTCTGCAAGGATACAAAGAAATGAATAGTATCATCAACCTACAGAATCTAACTGACATTTTCAGAACATTTCTCCCAACAAGAGCAAAATACACCTTCTTTTCAAAGACACATAGAAAATTCACCTACATAGATAACATCCTGGATCATAAAACCCAACAAATGTAAAACAGCTGAAATCACTTAACAGTACATTATCTAGCTATCATAAGATTGAACTTGAAATCAATAGAAAGACAATAGGAAAATCTGTTGGAACACTTACAAATTCACGC